GTGTGTGTGTGTGTGTGTGTGTGTGTGTGTGTGTGTGTGTGTATACCACATCTTCTTTATCCATTCGTTAGTCGATGGACATTTGGGTTCTCTCCATAGTTTGGCTATTGTTGATAGTGCTGCTATAAATATTGGGGTGCATGTGCCCTATCAATTCTGTATGTTTCTATCCTTTGGGTGAATACCTATTCATATTTATCCAAATTACCCAATTGCTGAGTCATAGGATAGTTCTATTTTTAACTTTTTGAGGAACCTCCGTATTGTTTTCCAGAGTGGCTACACCAGTTTGCATTCCCACCAACAGTGCAAAAGAGTTCCCCTCTCTCTGCATCCCTGCCAACACCTGTTGTTTCTTATGTTAATTTTAGCCACTCTGATAGGTGTGAGGTGGTATCTCAGTGTGGCTTTGATTTGTGTTTCCCTGATGATGAGTGACGTTGAGCATCTTTTCATGTGTCTGTTGGCCATCTGGATGTCTTCTTGGGAAAAGTATCTATGCATGTCTTCTGCCCATTTCTTCACTGGATTCTTTGTTTCTTGGGTGTTGAGTTTGATAAGTTCCTATAGATTTTGAATACTAACCTTTTGTCCAATATGTTGTTTGCAAAGATCCTCTCCTATTCCTTTGGCTGCTTTTAGTTTTGTTGGTTGTTCCCTTTGGTGTGCAGAAGCTTTTTGTCTTGATGAAGCCCCAGTGGTTCATGCTTGCTTTTCTTTCTTTTGCCTCCAGCCATGTGTCTAGTAAGAAGTTGCTGTGGCCGAGGTCAAAGGGGTTGCTGTCTTTGTTCTCTAGGATTTTGATGGTTTCCTGTCTCCCCCAGATTGTTTTCAAGTCCTGGAGAAGATCATTTCTTCTGTTAACATGTCACGTGTCCCTCTAAAAGAGAAGGGCTCTTTAAAAATATATATATATAACTATAATTCTACTGTGGTAACAAAACAATTTCTTAATGTCATCAAATACTGTTTTCCTAGTTGTTTTGTATATTTTTTCTACTTTGAGTCAGAATCCAAATAAGGTCCCTGCGTTGCAGCTGATTGATGTTAACTCTTAGGTCTCTCTTAACCTCCCTCCCCTTTTCCCTCATAACGTATTTGTTGAAGAAGCTGGTTGGTTGTCTGTAAGAGTTTCCCACAGTTGGGTGTTGCCTGCGATATGCCTGTGGTTTTTCACATGCCCTTCTGTGCTTGTAACTTGGTTCCAGAGACCCAGTCAGGTGCCAGAATACTTAGTAGGTGGTGGTGCTTCTTCCTGACGTCTGCGTCTCTCTCTGCTTGTGATGTTAGCCTGGTGGCAGGACGGACCTGCCCTTCCTCAAGGTTAGCCGGAGGATGCCATCGTGCACAGCTTTGCCTCCCCAGCCGTGGCCCCAGGGCTCAGTCTCTATGGGAGAGGTGGGCGGCATGATTCATGCTCTCCCTTTGTTGATGGGTTTTCCTGAGTTTGTTTCCTGTCGCCATCCAATCTGACTGTTGAGGGTTGGTGTTGATACCTGTATGAAATCACAGGTTTCCTTTTAATGCACCTAATGTGCTTCATTTCAAGCCAAGTCAGTCTTTCTCATCAGTGTTCTGACTGTCCAGTGTTGACTCAGTGGAGCCTGTTCGAGTGGCTGTCTGGGACCTTTTGACACATCCCAGGAGACTTTGCAGCTTCCTCGTCTTCTGATATGGGGAAGATGTTTCAGGCTCGCTCTGCGTGTTTCCCGCCCCATATCTGGAACCTTCCATCTCTCCACGGAGCCTGGCTGCATGTTGCCTCTGGATTGGTCATTGTGTCTAGGGGTTTTCTTACCTTTTTTAAGACGAGAAAAATGTATCCAAGTTCACATTGGCATTTCTAATGCAGCTTTACTCTTTAGAGTTTTTCCTAAATCTTTGATTTTATACATGCATATCTGTCTCATGCCCCGCATCCTGGCTCCTAGCGCCGTCAGCCGTCCGTTTGCTGTCCCCTACGGCACGCACAGCACTTGGAGAACGCCACCACCGGTAATGAGCCGCAGCAGACGACTGAAAACACTAGGAGTTTTCTTGGTAGGTCTGTCTGTTCTCAGGGTGCGTCCCACTGGGGACGGACAACCAGTTAACAGAACAGTTCTTTGTTAGGCTACGCTTGCCACTTTGATGTTAAGTTTCTTAGTTTCATTTTGGTTTCAGTTTTTAGGCATTGAAAAATTGGATTTAATTTTGTTTTATGTATGTAAAGTAGTCACTTGTTTCCAAGGTCAAATGTACCAAGCAAGATAGATTCAGAGATTCGGGGCTTCTGCCCTGTCCTCTCCCTCCCCCTGTAGGAAACAGTGAGAAATACGGCTTATACTTTCCTTTAAAAAGTATACATGAATACGTGTCTGTGTGTGTGTGTGTGTGTGTGTGTGTGTGTGTGTGTGTGTGTGTGCGCGCGCGCGCGCGCGCGCGTGTGTGTCTCTGTCTGTGTGTGTCTGTTCACCGGGATCTATGCTTCTCCATCTGGCTTTTGTCACTGGGCAGCGTGTGCTGGCATTTGCTCTGCAGCGGTGCGGGGAAGTGGCTTCACCCCTGCTCCCAGCCCCGGCCTCCCTCACCGACCAGGTGCTTGGGGTTTACTCAGCCAATTTCATGTTGATGTACATTTGGGTGAGATGGTGTTTTAAAGAAAATGGTGTTTTTTTTAATGGTATTTACCCCATGGGTAATTCCTTTTTTCTAAGGAAGCTGAAGACTCTTGACTTAATATGAAAGGAGTATCTTGTGCTTAGAACCAGCTCAGAATTGTCACACGTGTTTGCAACACTTACCTGTTTCCTCTTCCTCTTCATCGTTTTCCATTTACAAAGTTTTGTTTTTTTCACCTTTGAGGAGCTCATTTCTTTGAAATGCTGAAATTTTTAAAAATTTAAATCCAAGTTATTTAACATACCGTGTAATAATGATTTCAGGAATAGAATTTAGTGACTCATCCCTTACATACAACACCCAGTGCTCATCCCAACAAGTGCCCTCCTCGGTGCCCCTCACCCCTTTACCCATCCCCCCTCCCACAACCCCTCCAGTAACCCTCTGTTTGTTCTCCATATTTAAGAGTCTCTTAGGTTTTGTCCCCCTCCCTGTTTTTATCTTGTTTTTGCTTCCCTTCCCTTATGTTCATCTGTTCTGTGTCTTAAAGTCCTCATGTGAGTGGAGTCATATGATGTTTGTCTTTCTCTGACTAATTTCACTTAGCATAATACCCTCCAGTTCCATCCACGTCGTTGCAAGTAGCAAGATTTCATTCTTTTTGATTGCCAAGTAATACTCCATTATATATATAAACCACATCTTCTTTATCCATTCATCCATCGATGGACGTTTGGGCTCTTTCCATACTTTGGCTACTGTTGATACTGCTGCTGTAAACATTGGGTTCATGTTCCCCTGCGAATCTGCATTTTTGTATCCTTTGGATACCTAGTAGTGAAACACTGAAATTTTATCCTTAATTTCCACCACCAGCTACTTATCAGTGGATTACAGGCTCTCTTGCACCAAATAAAGATTATTTGAAGCCGTTTTCAGTATAGAAAGAGGAAGAACAAGAAATTAGTGTCCTCCCCACCCCCTCCCCATTTAGAATGGAAGGGCTCCTCAGGGCGGACAATAACATAAAACCACTGATTCTCAACAGGAGGGCTTGTGAAAAAGATTCTGGAGACCAAGAAAGACTATGAGAAGCTTCAGCAGCCACCCAGACCTGGAGAGAAGGTAAGGAGGGCTTTCTGCAAAGGCTGCACACACTTGGAAGGTCCCCCCACCTCCTCGGCCGGGAGGATAGAAAACTCAGGGCTCCTCCAGTGTGTCTCGGGTGGGGCCGTGGCCTCGCCTGGCAGCTCGGGAGTCAAGGCCAGAAGCCTGTTCTGCTCTGACCCCGTGGCCGTCCCCTTCCTGCCTGGTGCATCCCGTCTCCCTGCTTGCAGGGTCAGGAGGCTGGCCGCCTGGCCCTGGCCGATGGCAGGAGAAGAGCCTGGGCAGCTTCCGGTCTGGCTTTTCAGTCTACCTGCTGTTAGTATGTGCCCTCCAGCGGTCTTGCTTACTGGTGTGGGAGTACTTTTGTCGGGACTGGGCTTCCCGCCAGCCGCCACCCCTGGGCGTGTGACCCTGGGGTTCCTGCTTGCAGGCCAGGTGCCTCCAACGTCACGGCTAGGTTTCTGTTACAGCCACTTTAAAAAATAAGAGTGTATCTTCACTTACTGGTTTTTTAACAGAAAGATGTTTTTTGGATAGTTTTGCTGGCAGCCAATAATTCCAATAAGTTTTACACACACACATGCACACGTGGATAATTCTGCCTAAAACGTCCTAGTTTGTCATGAAGATGTGGCCCGAAGCCACCAGTGAGAAGACTGGTGAGAGTGACATTCGAAGGGCCCCTGTAGTGTCACGGGGAGGGGGAGGGGCGGGGGGTAATGCTGCTGAGGGCTCGCTGGACAGCCCCCGCCGCGCTGGCTCCTCTGCGGCCTGTTGTCTGTTGCTGTGGAATTTTAATGTGTCCTGCTCCGGTTCAGGCCTGCGGAGCTGGCCTGGTGTCCCTGGCCGTGTTCCTGGCACTTGAGTGTGTCCCTCCAGGCTGTTCCTGGAGGTAACCTTTGAGGCTTCGCTTGGTTTAAATTTTATAGCCTTGCTTTTTATGCAAAGCATGCTAGGTCTGTGCTTCAGACTTCCTCGGAAGAGTCCATTTCAGAGTAGGTATTTTGACTTTAGAAGATACAAGGAAAAAAACGTCCTTGTTTGGTGAACAATTTGCTGTTTTAAAAAAAGTACAGTTAGTATGGGGGTGCCTGGGTGACTCAGGCGGTAGAGTATACAACTCTTGATTTCGGCTCATGGTTGTGGGATCGATCCCCTGTTGGGCTCCGCGCTGGGCGTGAAGCCTGCTTGGGATTCTTTCTCCCTGCCCCTGCTCCTGTGTGCACAGGAGCGCTCGCTCGCGCTCTCTCTCTCAGAAAAATAAAAAAGTACAGTTTATTTATTTTCTCATCATTTTTAACATTTATTTTTGAAAGAGCGCAAGTGGGGGAAGGGCAGAGAGAGGGAGACACAAGATTGGAAGCAGGCTCCAGGCTCCAGGCTCCGAGCTGTCAGCACAGAATCTGACGCGGGGCTTGAACTGAAGAACTGCAAGATCATGACCTGAGCTGAGGTCGGTCGCTCAACCCACTGAGCCACCCAGGCACCCCAGAAAAGTACGGTTTAGTAAGTGTTTCAAGGTCTGTATATTACAGGCAGGGGAAACACATGCTGCTGTGTTTTCTTTAGTGTGTTGGTAAATATCAGGTTTACATTTCACTGACTGGTCTTCTAAAAACCTCTTAGAGTTTTTTAAATAAAAGAAATTAAAACACACCGGAAAAGTTGATGTCTTTTCTGCCTTCGCCCCAGGCCCATTGTCCCCAGGGCAGTCACGGGGAAGAGCTGGTGTGAGCCTTACTTTATAAGCAGTTCCTACTGCTTCGGGGGGTTTTCGGTGCTTCCCCCCGGTGCTGGTACGTTTGCTGGTCGCTTTCTTCAGGCCGCAGTGTGCTTCTGAGACCTTCCCTGTTTGGATACCTGTGGATCTAGCTTGTTCCTCTTAACTGGTAACTAGTATTCCGTGGTTTATTAATTCCTTTATTGACGGATGTCGTGTTGACTCCGCCTTCCACTGTTGTGAACGCACCTCCACGTGTCCAGGCAGATGGGAGCCAGTGTCTCCGGAACAGTAGTCAGCAAACATTTTCTGCAAAGGGCCACGCGGTAAATATTTTAGGCTTACGGGCCATACAATCTGTTGCAACTTCTCAGCTCTGCTGATAGCCTGAAAGCAGCCCTAGGGAGGACAACAGGAAACGGTATGTGTGGCCGTGTTCCAATAAAACTTTATTCACAGCAGCGGGACCCAGCCTGGCGCTGGGGTTTGCGACCTTGCTTTAGCGTCTGTGCCCAGACCCAGAGCTCCTGAGGGTGCACAGAGCTCTGATTTCACCCCATACCGCCAAATCATTCCCCGAGTGGCTGCACTGATTTACTCTCCCAGTGGAGTGAGACTGTTTCCACACGTCTGTGCCATCCACAGTCAGGACGGTGAACGTGTGCGTCGCCCTCCACAGTGGCCTGTGCCCTTCGGAATCCCTTCCGGCCACCTCTCCCCACGCCCCGCTCCCGCCAGGACCCGCCAGCTGCTCCTCTGCTCCTGGCCACTCTTGTTTGTTGCCCAGAATCGCAGACGGTGGAGTCACATGGCGTGTGCTCCCTTTCGGTCTGGCTTCTTTCAGTCATCGTGTTACTTTGAGACGTGTCCATTTTGCAGCACGTGTCCTTTTGCTTGCGAGTCGTGAGCGCGTCGTCGTAAGATACACCCGCTGCAGTTGTATGGATTTATCATCCTCGGTAGTGGGTGTATCCATTTGTCAGTTGATGAGCCGTCGGGTTGTTTCCAGTTTCGGCCAGTTACACTCCCTTAGGAGCCCTTGTGGGGACAAACACTTTCGTTCCTTCGGGTGAACACCTAAGAGTAAGATTGCTGGCTCACGTGGTAAACGTATATTTATCTTTTCGGGAAACCGCCGGGCTGTTTTCCAAAGTGGTTGTACCATTTACATTTCCACCACAGCAGAGGAGAATTCCAGCTTCCCCACGTCGTCGTCAGCACTCGGAACGGCCGGTCTTTCTAATTTTTTGTGTTTTAATTTGCATTTCCTTAATGGCTGATGATTATTCTCTCTTCACTGCTGGTTCCCCCTCTTGCTCTTTTCTTCGTATCGAAGTCTTAACGTTGCTAGCTTTTCTGTTCTCTCGAACGAATCCTTTCTTTTTGTTTTGCCAAGTCAATTTCTGGAGTGAGTGTATTCCGTTTTCCTATTTCCTTTTTGAGTCTCTTTGGGTAATTCATGTTTGAATCAGTTAGGATTAGGTTCACCTATGAGTGAAGGAGACATCGAAAACATTAGTGGCTTAAATGACGTGGAAAGTGCTGTAGCTCCTGAGTCAGAGTCTGGAGGTGGCGCCTGTGTGACCCCCCGTGCCTCAGGGCACCTCATGGGCCAAGGTAGCTGTCCCAGGTCCATCCAGGACTGCCTGCCAGCCAGCAGGAAGGGGAGAAGGAGAAAAGCATGCCCCTTTCCTTCCAGACTCTTCCTTGGAAGCTGTGCCTGCCGCGTCCACTTCCGCGATAGTGGCCGGATCTTTGTCACTAAGGGGCCGTGAAGTGAGATCTTCATTCCAGAAGTCAGCATGCTCAGTTAAAGATCAAGGTTTTCACACAGACGAGAATTTGCCAAAATTCCTCACTGCCTGGAGTGCTCAGAAGATGATATTTGCAAGGCACATGGGTGAGCGGAGGAGGCTGGCTGCCTGGCTAGGGCCCGAGGGTTTCTGGAACCAGCACCTCCCACATGTGGGCTGCACACGGGGCAAAGAAGCTTTGCTGCAGAGGCGAGAGCGGAAATCGGCGTCCCCTGGCTGTGCCTTCTCCAGCCTTTCTCCAGGCAACTGTTGCGTCCACGTTTTCCAGAGTCGTGACATAAACACGTTTCAGCTGTGCCTCTGTGATTTTAAAAACACGCCTATGGTTACAGTTTTCCTTTTCTTCCCAAAATTTTGTGTCTTTTTACCTTGAGACTTTAAAGAAACAGTTGAAATAGACACCCTCTAGCAAAGGATCAACTTTTGGTTTTGTAGATAGACACTTTTGTTTTCATTTCATTGATTTCTATTCTTTATTTTTCCTTTTAATTTCCTTGGTTATTTATGTTTTTAGTCCTTGTGTAAAATACTTAGCTCTTTCATTTTTAGCCTTTATATTTTATTTTATTTTATTTTATTTTGTTTATTTTTTTTTGAGAGAGAGAGAGCATGAGTCGGGGAGAGGGGCAGAGGGAGAGGGAGACCGAATTGTAAGCAGGCTCCACGCTCAGTGCAGAACCTGCCTCGGGGCTCAACCCCACGACCCTGGGATCATGACCTGAGCTGAAATCGAGAGTCGGACGCTCAACCGACTGAGCCACCCAGGTGCCTGAGTCCTTGCCATTTTTAAAAATTAATTAATTAATAAATCTATTTTAAGTTTATTTATTTATTTTGAGAGAGAGAGAGAGAGAGAGAACAAGAGTGCAAGAGCAGGGTTGGGGCAGAGAGAGAGGGAGAGAGAATCCCAAGCAGGCTTCATTCTGTCACTGTGTAGCCCAGTGTAGGGCTTGAGCTCGTGAATCGCGAGATCATAACCTGAGCCAAAGTCGGGCACTTAACCAACTGAGCCACCCCGGCACCCCTGAGTTCTTGTCATTTTAAACAAATACATTTAAGGCCGTACATTTCTCTTTAAGCATGGTTTATCTTTGAATTTTTAATATGAATATTAAAAGTTCCTTGAACTTTAAGATGAAATACTTTATTTCTTTTTATCATGTGGGTTGTTAAGGAGTCTGTTCCATAGCTTTGAAACGTAAGGATTTTTAAAAAGTCTTTTTACTGGCGATTTCTAATACAATTTCACGTTCAAAGAATATGGTCTATATGATACCGATTATTTGGAGTCTAGCTTTCTCTGAGGCCTAGTCTGAGGGCAGTTTTCACAGGTGTTCCGGAAAGCTCGCAAGGTGTGTGTACCTTCTGTACTTCGGATCCAGACTCCAACGCGCCTGGTTTGCTGAGAGGCGGCGGTAAGACTCTCTTCGAGCTGCGTCGGCCACGTCCGCCTGTTGCCGTTATTGGTTCATACGTACCCGTCG